TAAGTTTGGTTCTCCTCTCAGAAGACTCACTAAGAGGAAATGACCGCTTCAGACTTCTGTTCTCCAATATGCAAACTAGTAAAAGACTGATAAGGAGAGATTTTGGAGCCATCGCTACGCATGGAAACAAACTCAGTGTTATATACCATACAAATAATCTTCCAAATATTTCAGAGTTTAAATCCAGTTACTAGTAATGGAGGCAGATGATGTAAGCAGTGTGGGTTAGGCAGACGCGTGGTCTGAGTTTTGTTTGCACAAAGACTACTTTGTCTTCCTCTGGAAGTGTAAGAGGCCTTAAAGGAGATGCAAAATACAATTTGCATGTGAAGAGGCCTTGGCATAAATAGGAGTTAGGTCCAAGCTACATTCATGGGAGATCTGAGAGTAGGCAGAGTTGAATATATAGTTCATCCAGATGAATTTTGACTAAACAGCAGATGCCTTATTTCTTCCAGCTGTAACATCATTTCCATTTGAAGAGGAGGCAAGACCTCGTGCTCCATCTGCTAAAGCAGCTATCCCTCCTCCAGTGTATGATGAGCCAGAAAGACCTCGGTCCCCAACAGGACCTAGTAATTCTTTCCTTGCTAACATGGGGTAAATATGTTTAATAGTTTATGAGAAATAGCTCACAGGATGTTGAGGGGAGATGGCAAAGTTTAAATGCTTATCAGCACAGAGAAGAATGCAGTCATTGCATGCATTACTTTAAGGTATATACGTGTAGTTCCTCCCAGCAGGTAATAAAGTATACAGGCAGACAAGGTTCTTTGAGTGAATCTGATATCTTCTATTAGACCAACTTAAATAGTTGGAAAGAATTATTAAACAAGCTTTCGGGTTCAAAAACCCTTCATTGGGCTAAGGAAGTTTCAGCAGTTGGTGTGTGCTCTTCGTAGATGGAATGAAAAGTAAAGAAGCCAGGGGCTGGGCTGGTATGCATACAAGACATCCCAGCCTGGCTTCTTTACTTTTCATTCTATCTAGGAAGAGCACACACCAACTGCTGAAACTTCCTTAGCTTGATGAAGGGTTTTTGAACCCGAAAGCTTGCTTAATAATTTTTTTCCAACTATTTAAGTTGGTCTAATAAAATATATCAGATTCACCCAAAGAACCTTGTCTGCCTATGTCCTTAGACCACCACGGCTACAACCTACACCCCTGTAACATAAAGTATACAGTGCATTTGTTTGAATTGGGCAACTTAATATGAGGAAGAATGGTAACTTTCACAGCAAGCCTAAGGGAGGGCAAAAAAGCCCATCAGAATAAATGTTTTATGACCTGTAAAAGCCAAGAGGTTTTTGAGACCGTTACATGTATATCAAGAATATCTGGAGTTGTTGCTAATTAACATTGACATAGTAAATATCCTACCTCAGGTCTTAAGCCAGTCTCCAACTGGTAGTGATCAGGAGGCAAGTGAATGTGAGAAACCTTGTACCACATCTGCCTGCTTAGGAGTCTTGCACAGTCCCCTGAAGCTACTGGTATTAGCCATTATCTGAGCCAGGATATTAACCTAGGCATCCCTTGAATCTTATCCAGTCTGCCAGTTTCTATGGCATGAAAGTCCAGCTGTATCTAACATAATGTAAGCAATTTTGTTGCCATATTTCCCTGAATCCAAGATGACTTTGAATTTCAGATGACCCACCCCCCAATAATTAGATTCTATATATCGAAAACTTATTAATTAGATTCTATACATGGAAAATTATAACAAATTATTGGGGAGGTCATCTTAAATATACCCCTCTTCCTCCCAGCCCTCACACTGCTACAGTAGGGGGTCAGGTGGCTGGGGACCACTTGTCCCCCCTGGCAGCCTGCCCTCTGCTGACAGTGCCTGTGCCCTTCCTGCAGCCTCTGTCCTCTGTGCAGCCTCTGCCTGATGGTGGACCAGAGGGCTAGAGGAGAGGGCAGAAAGCTGCTGGAGGGAGAGATGGAGGGAGGGCAGGCAGGCAGGCAGCTGCTGCAGGTTTGATTCTGGCCCCAACCCAGCTCTGGGCCAGGCAGCTGCTGCTGCCACCTACCCTTTTCCCATCCCTCCCCGCCCCCAGCTTGTACTTGACTTTAAGATGAGAGGCTTTGTTCCCTGTGCTGGTGGGGGGGAATGGATGAATTCATCTTGCATTTGAATAAATGTGGTATTCAACTTGTTTGTACCTATTTCCCTGTACTGTGTGGCCAGTGTTTGTGAAATGCAGTGATATAGATAGATGGTGACCTTTTCTAAATATTCAGGCTGCATTTAACAAGCTTTTAGGAGTTAGAATATTTTATATATTCTTAAATATCACGGTACTACTAAGCTAAGATGTGGATTGTATCATTCTTTTGTGCCAGCTCCCTGACAGCAAGTGTGAGTGCCATCTGTGCGCAACACTGGGTGTTGAAATGCAGCATCTGAAGCTTACTTAATGCTTTGGTCTGTGTTGGTTTCCTTTAGCGCTCCTGCAAAGTGAGTTGAGAATGTTGTTTCAAAAATCAAATGAGTGCTTACAAATCTTTCCTTTTTCTCTCTGCAGAGGCACAGTAGCGCATAAAATCATGCAAAAGTACGGTTTCAGAGAGGGCCAAGGGCTAGGGAAGCATGAACAAGGGCTAAGCACTGCGCTGTCAGTAGAGAAAACAAGCAAGAGGGGCGGCAAGATCATTATCGGTGAAGTTACAGATAAAGGTAACTCAGTTCCATTCCACAGGAAAGGGGAGGGGAGTACAACAAAGGGAGGAGGAATTTCAATCATTAGACTCAGAGTTATCTCTTGTTTCTATTTTATGTCATTCCCTCAAATGTGGGCTGCCTGTCAGAAATCGCTTGGCAACGTTTACTTTTGTAGAAATGAAAGAATCTAATTTTTAACAACCACACTGGTTCCTGATGATCTAATTATTTTCAGCTCTTTATTCTCTTCTCCATTGCTGTCCTCTGTTCATTCTTTACCCTCTCCTCAGTTCAGTGAGGGCTTTTCCTGTTTCTTCTTGCCATTTTACCCCCTGTTTAAAATATCCTCCCTGCACATGCTGGCTTTTTCTCAGTAGGTTATACCATGGGTATAGTTTCTATTTCTCTACTGCTCCCCACCATAGTCAGGTTTGGGGGGAAGAGGAAGGGAATGAATAAAGCCAAGAATAGGGCCAAGGACATTTTCCATCTGACCGTAGTATATGTAATATCGGCTTATTGCAGAGTCTGTATTTCAGCTTTAGTTTTGTGCCATTGCAGCAATCTGGATTGCTTGTTAAAACACAGCCAGCAGTTGCAGCAGTTCCAAATTGCAGTGCTGTGACTTAGTTCAGTGAAAGGCTGTTACGTGGCCATTGATATTTGAGAGACTCCATGTGGTTGTTCATAACTTAAATATAGACGTGTAGAACGAGTCCAATATAGGACTCCCAAATGAAAAGATGTTTTAAAACTGCATGCTGTGACTTACCCCTCTCTCTCTCTCTCTCTCTCTCTCTCTGTTAGATGTGGGGAAGAAATCTGATTCAAATCCATTAACAGAGATACTGAAGTGTCCAACTAAAGTGGTTTTACTAAGGGTGAGTTGAGGGATGTGTAACTTCGTATCTTCACACCTACGGTTTCTAGGACTATGTTAAAACATAAATCTTTCTCCTGCTATGGTGGGCCAGTGCAATGTAAACAGATCTCGGCCTCACCTAGGGCAGTACTGTGATTCTTTATTTGCTTTGGAATGTATCCAGTAGTTGCTTTAATCCTATGATTTGTGAGTCTTGGTGTATGGGTAGAAGAGAGAATTTCTTAGGGGCTTATTTCCAGTTTTGAAATACCTCAGAAGCATAAGGCTTTGTTCAAAATTAATTTCCTTAGAGTAGAATATATTGTAGCACAGCTTGTCTGTGCTGTATTAGTCTGTATTTTGGTTAATGTGACTTTGGCTCTATAAAAGAAATAACCAAGGATAGCGTTTTAGTGCCAGGTCACCGTATAATACTGTTTTGATGCTAGAATTGTGACTTATGCCTTCTTATGCTGATGCTTACAGTTCATTCATGGTTTCAGTAAAATACTCTTTTCATGGAAGTGTACCTAACAGTTCAAGATTAATCTGTTGGACTGCCTTTTCTTCCTTTACTTGCAGAATATGGTGGGGGCAGGAGAGGTTGATGAAGATCTAGAAGTTGAAACAAAGGAAGAATGTGAAAAATATGGGAAAGTTGGGAAGTGTGTCATCTTTGAGGTAAGAAATAATTTGCAGTCTCCTTCACCACATATCTGAAAGATTTTTAACCTTTTAGGAACTAGCCGGAAACTCTTAGCTTCATGTTGTTGAGACCATTTCCTTCCTGCAGCTAAAACCACAGTGTATCCAGAGAGTGGTTGAAGAGTTTTGACTTGCAGCAGGTTGGCAGCAGTGAATGTTATATCAGTTTGCACCACAGCTGATTTGCCCCTGCTCTGATCTTACTTTTACTCTTCCAGTAAAGCCCAATGTTTAAAGCTGTATTTTTGCCATTCTGATCAACTGCCCCTTTTTTCAGATTCCGGGTGCAGCTGATGATGAAGCTGTGAGAATATTTTTAGAGTTTGAGAGGGTTGAATCAGCCATTAAGGGTAAGAAAGATTGCACTGTAATTTCCTGTTTCAGGATGTTGACTTGCTTAAAACAGGTTTATTTTTTTAAAATAAAATGGCATTTAGCCACAATTGCTTATCTTGCTAAATCAATATTTAACAATCTGTTTTTCTTTTGGATTTCAGCTGTTGTGGATCTAAATGGAAGGTACTTTGGTGGCCGAGTGGTGAAGGCTTGCTTCTACAACCTGGATAAGTTCAGAGTACTGGATCTGGCAGAGCAAGTCTGATTTAACAGCAAAAAATAACATAGCTCAAGGTGTCACTGTTTTGGCAATCACATTTTCAGCTCTAGGCTGGGGAGAGAG